TTTAATAATGAATGATATTAAGTTTTAATAAAATACTAAAGGGAATGTTTAAAATATTAGTTTAAATATAGAGTTTAATGGATTAATGTGTTGACTGTTATGGATTTATTATTGTAGCATTGGTTTCTGAAATAGTAGAATGTACTAAGCAGAATCTGATTGGGATTTAGGTGTTATTTTAAATTTTAATTTAGGGGAATGATAGAAAGGCATCATACTCCGATTAGTGATTCCAGGGGAAACTATTCTTTTTTAAATTGGAAATAAGACAGATGTAAATGGAGAAATGGACAAAAGATATAAAAATATTTTTCTTTAAAGCAAGATTAAATATATAAAACAGAATTAAGATGAGGCAAAAGTGGAGAGGAGTTATATAATAGATATAGAATGGTAAATAAGATGGGTAATGGTATATAAGAAGAGCATGAATTCAATTGAAGTCCATACAAAAAGAGGTAATCTGGGGCCAAGTTACTTTCTAGAAGAAAGTTTTATGTTTTTATGTTTATGTCTTGTGTGTGTGTGTGTGTGTTTAATTAAGAATTAAATAATAAAATCTCGGAGGAAGACTAGATGAGAATAATTATAAACAAGCCAGAGGAAAATATAAATGTGATGACTGAATAGCAGATAAATTAGAAAGGAAATATGATTGAATAATGATTAAAGAGAAACAATGTGGAATTTGGTAAAGGGAATTTACGTGTTTATATGGAAATGGGATAAATTATAAGTACGTGATATAAAGCAATATGTTACCTGCCTTGTAAAGATCTACAATGGAAAGAGGTTTTATGTTTTTAATGTTTAATGATGTTTTGTTTTGTTTGTTTGTTTGTAAAATCAATAAAACTTGTTTTTTTTTAAAAAAAAAGGGAGACCCCAGCCTAGTTGAAAATTACAGACCAATCTCTTTATGCTGCGTCACCTGTAAAGTCATGGAATCAATTATTAACCAATCCATTATCCTCCACTTAGAGACAAACAACCTACTCTCTAATAAACAATTTGGTTTCAGAAAAACTATCCTGTAATCTGCAACTCTTACACTGCAAAAACATATGGACTACACAACTAGATCAGGGCAAAGCAATAGACGCAATCTACATAGACGTCTGTAAAGCCTTTGATTCAGTGGTACACGACAAACTACTTCTAAAACTAAAATATTTTTTTTAAACAAATTTTATTAATTTTACAATTAAAAACAAATCAACAACACATACACAGATAGAAGAGCAAAAAAGAAAAGAAAAAGAAAAAAGAATGGAAAAAAACCCCACTTAAAAACATTCTCATTTTCGACAGTTTGTAAGATCTTTTCTTTTCTTGATTTATGCCATATACGCACACCTCATCCATATGTATGTTTATATATCACTCATATAGATTTGTCCTATTCTTTTTTTGCCTTATGATATAGAATCTGTCTTTGTTCTAACCATTTATACCAGCAATTCCATTTGTTATAATATATTGAAGAATCTTTATTTTTTAAGGCTAAAGTTAGTTTGTCCATTTCTGCACAGTCTGAGATTTTTTGGATGTTCATCTCACCCCAACACCACAGACAATACTGCTACCCTTCAAAAAGACCTCAACTATGTATCAGAATGGTCAGACAAATGGCAACTTCAAATCTCAACAAATAAATGCTCTGTCTTACATATTGGCAAAAAAAAATCAGAAAATAAAATACAGGCTGCATAGTCAAAACCTTGTTGATGATCCAAACTCTGTAAAGGACCTTGGAATACTCATCTCTAATGATCTAAGTGCTAGAGCCCACTGCAACTACATAGCCAAAAAGGCATTAAGAGTTGTTAACCTAATCCTACATAGCTTTTTCTCTGGTAATATCACACTACTAACGAGACCATACAAAACATTTGCCAGACCAATACTTGAATACAGCTCATCAGTCTGGAACCCGCATTACGTATCTGATATGAGCACAGTTGAGAAAGTCCAGAAATATTTCACAAGAAGAGTTCTCCACTCCTCTACTCGTTGCAGAATACCTTATGCCACCAGACTTGAAATTCTAGACCTAGAAAACCTAGAACTATGCCGCCTCTGGTCCGATCTAAGTATAGTATATAAAATTATACATTGCAATGTCCTACCTGTCAATGAATACTTCAGCTTCAACCATAACAAGAGCACACAATAGATACAAACTCAAGGTAAACTGCACCAAACTTGATTGCAGGAAATACAACTTCAGCAACAGAGTGGTCAATGTCTGGAATACTCTACCTGACTCGGTGGTTTCTTCCCCAAACCCCAAAAACTTTAACCTTAGACTGTCTACTATTGACCTCACCCCCTTCCTAAGAGGTCTGTAGGGGGCGTGCATAAGCGCACCAACGTGCCTACCATCCTTGTCCTATTGTTTCTTTTTTTCATTTTTCTTATATGTATCCATTTCATGTATCCATAACTATGTTTATACTTAACCTTTTATCTTATAATTGCTTGACTAAATAAATAAATAAATAAATAAATAAATAAATAAATAAATTGTATTTTCCAAAGCACCAGAAGGCAAACAAGAAGCAAAGGATGGAAACTGAACAAAGAGAGAAGCAACCTAAAACTAAGGAGAAACTTCCTGACAGTGAGAACAATTAACCAGTGGAACTGCTTGTCTCCAGAAGTTCTGTGTGCTCCAACACTGGAGGTTTTTAAGAAAAGACTGGACAGCCATTTCTCTGAAATGGTATAGGGTTCCACCCAAGCAGTGGTGGGATTCAAATTTTTTTACTACTGGTTATGTGGCCGTGGCTTGGTGGGCATGGCAGGGGAAGGATAGTGTAAAATCTCCAGTCAGAAGTGGTATTTGCTGGTTCCCCAAACTACTCAAAATTTCTGCTACTGGTTCTCCAGAACCTGCTGAATATCACCTCTGCCTCCAAGGTCCCTTCTAAGAGTTATTCTGTTATTCTGACACCTTTCCTGGGACCTCTACTCAGAGTTTGGCATCCTCAGTTTTCCTGCCTGAGCAGGGGGTTGGACTAGAAGACCTCCAAAGTCCCTTTCAACTCTGTTAAACACACATGTATTTATGCTCTGAACTATAGACATTGAATGCATGTAAACCCTGAAAAATATGTGGTAGCCCTGGGCAAAAGAAAGGCAGTAAAATCACTCTAGGTATAGGGACAGTGTAAAATATTAATATATGATAAATAATAGAACAATTAAAAATAATAGCATAGTTTTCTCTCTCTCCCTATTTCTTTTTCTTCTTTCTCTCTCTCTCTCTCTGTGTCTTTCTGTCTTTCTCTCCATTCCTCTTTCTTTCTCTTTCTTTCTCTCCATTCCTTTCTTTCTTTCTTTCTTTCTTTCTTTCTTTCTTTCTTTCTTTCTTTCT